CTCTTGTCTGGCAAATGCTGAATTTTTAATTGTGTAATTGTGTCTCAAACCCCAGAAATTATGGATAATATGTTAATACTTTCAGATTACTTTAAAGAAATATAAATCTTACATTTGAACCATGGAAAAAACATCAATTCTAAGCCTCTAACTGCAGAACAATGATAGATGACAAAGCTAGGACAGAACAAAGGTCATCACAGCTCAGAACTACATGTCTAGTAACAGAAAATGTCTGGCTCTAAAAGAAAATTCACATTACCGTTTTGTTCACTTGGATGTTTACAATACCAAGAATGACCTTTGTGGGTTCTGCTGTATCCTTCTATTCAAACAGAACAGTCCTACTTGAACTCTGCAGTCATCAGCCCCTGCCCCAGTGACACCCCAGCAGGGCCAGTCTCCAGCACCCATGGCCCTGCCCTACCGGTACCCATGGGCCCAGGGAGGTGCCCGGTTCCCAGGGCTGGGGCTGCCCCAGTGCACCCTCACTGCCTGCTCCCTGCTGAGGGCTGGGACAGGACCCAGATGCCAGGCCCTGCCCTGACAGACCCCCACGGGGAGCACCCGCTGCCCTCCCAGGCCACCAGCCCTCTCAGCAGCTGACGGTTTCTCCCTTGGCATTAGGCAGTCTCAGAGCCCCGGTGTCATGCTCTTCAGCTCTTCAGCTCTTGTGCAACCATGGAAAGATGTCCTGCGTGAAAGATGTGAATGTTACACACTTTAAGTTCTGTATAACACACTGCAGTGACTCTTTCTCAAAATAAGACAAATTTTCTTAGGTGGGAAGTATACAGAGAGTTACAATACAGAAGTTGTGACCAGCCAAAGAGGTTGGTTTTCTTTAATATGGTGTCTGGTTTTTATCACAGCTATTACATTAGCACCCCACAATCTACTTGCATCCTGTTGGCTCTACAAATAGATCTCTGCAGATGTTTGCTATTATTCACAATTTTGAAACTATTCACCGAGGAAAAAACCCCAGGGAAATAATTACCCTCTTAGTAAAAAAAAAAAAAAAAAAAAAAAAAAAAAAAAAAAAAAAAAAGTCAGAATCATTGCAAAGACATAAAAATTTGCTTGCATGTTCGTCTAAAACAATATAACAATTACACAAAAATTAATCTATTTTTCTTTCTTTTTCACCATGCAAGCACATTATAGCCCATGCTACAGTATGTCTATAAAACCCCTCCATTAGGAGGAGAAAGTATTTAGGTATTTGGTGATACATGGACACATGCAAACCAAGAGTAACGAATTAACCTATTCAAATTCAAGAAGGGTAGTGGTCATCATATGCATAGTGACACATAACTTTCTTAAACCAAATTGGATTATTCTTGTGTGGTTAATGAGACCTGGAGGTACTAAAATTAATATTAAGAAGTTATTTTACTCATATTTAATCTGATATGGCACCTTATCCTGAAACTGGAAAATAATTTTCTATTTTAACCCCAGAAAATTTTAACCGTGGAGTTGTCAATTAAAGAATAAGGAAGCTACAGAACAACTATAATTACATTTTTCCAAATTCCTCCTTCAGATGTTGCATAGTGTCTCAATGACAATATCTTTTCCACATACATGAAATATGGCCTAGTGAGGGGCAATATCAGGTTTTACACAGTATCAGGATAATAACATAGTAAACTATTTAAATAAAATTAATTTGAATTTTTTTCTTTCTTTGCTTTTGTTTACAATTGTTTCCTTCAAAATATTTCAGTCCATTTATTTTTTACATAACTGGAAAATCATATCTATGCAGTTTCTAGTCTCCATTCTGAACATTCAGTTAACTGTGAACAGTAACTGACTGCTTTGGCTCATAGGATCAAATAAAATTAAAATCCAAGTTCTAATACAAATGCTTGTTTATAATGTTTTATATCAATAGCTGTGATATTTATGTAGATTTGATTAATGATGACTAATTATGAAAATTAATTGGGCACAAATTCAAAATTGGTAAAATTATATTTTAGGTAAATTAATTAAAAATGAAAACTATTAGCATCTCATTATTTGCCCTATAACAAATACAATATTTAACAATTGAATAATTAGAAAATTCAACTGGCTACTTAGCTGCTAAAGCTGTGTACTTGATTACACAGGCATAAGTGATTTCTTCAGGTGAAAATTATATAAAATAACATTTATTATTAGCTGGACTCTTCACAAGCAATATGTCCATGTTACAGAGTAAGTCCAATATGAATGAAGTAATACATAGCAAAATGCAGTATCTCAAACTAGAAAGTGTAATCTTCATACTTCAAATGTATTTGTCATTAGTTTTGAGATAAAAGTTAAGTATTTCTAAACGTATGCTGTGACTATTTTCAAGGCAGTATAGTTATAACAGGAGAAAAGACCATTTTTGTATGTCTCCCTTTCATGTAAGACACCCTGGTTCATTTGCACTTACCTTGCCTTGACCAGTGCAGTATAGTTCCCAAACATGTCGCTGAACGGCTACTTGCTAGAATTAGTGATTTTGCACTCCAGGTGCTAGTTTTGGATTTTGACATGGTTTTATTAAGGGACTCTGGGCTATCTCTTAAAGCTGTAGTGCATAGACACCTCATTTTTTGTGTCTGTTTCCCCATTTCCAAAACAGGAAAATGCTCTAAGATCTTCTGAGAATTTTGCTTTATATAATCTACATATTGTTACTTATATAGGAACAAGGCATGGGAGGAAGCAAGAAACTTGAAAATCTGAAATCTAAAGAATTGGGTAAACACATAAACTTTATTTTACAGCAGCTGTGTTTTGATTAATGGAATTGTTATATGGAGGTCCAAAAAATAAATAAACAAGGATGGTCTGCAGCATGTCCAGACAGAGCACTCCTCTTCTGTAAAGGCTGCATCTCAACACTTACCTGCTTGTTAGTCTATTACCATGTGTGAGCTGGCTAGAACATAATTTAGCCCAGAAGGAATTCTTAGTCCCTTGATGGCACTAGTCATGGTAACCCTCTCTACCTACCTGATTTGTCCCTGGGCCACGACTGGAATCTTTATGTACTCTGCAGTGCACCAAACCCAGTTTATTTGCTTCATGACCTCATTATCAGCAGTTAGAGATCCATGCTGGTGTGACTGGTGAGGGGCACTCTCAGCCACAGGGCACTGCCGATGGATGCAGTCAACAGATGCAGCAGTTGGCACAGAAGGGTGCGCGGAAAGGGACAGATGCTCTGCCAAGAGAGCATCATTGTGCTCAGCAGTGGTGGTGATGTCCCATAGGGCACAGTCCTCAACCTCCACTGGAGGAACTAGCCCCACAGAGCAGAGACCTCAACCCAGAGTGAGCTCCCGAAGGAGCTGCTGCTCTGCAGGGATGTGGCTGCAGGTGTGCCTGAGGCCTCTTCTGAGGCTGGGGCAGGGGCAGATGGGCTCTTTGCCTGCATGCTCATCTTGTCACCAAGCAAAGGAGCTGTAGGAGGAGGTTAACAGGCTGTGCAGCATCAAAGATGATGAGAAATTGGCTGATGTAAGGGCATGTGGAAAGGGAAAGCACCTGTTTCATTAAGGTCATAATCTGATCAAGGACCTATTCAATGCATTGATTATTCCTTACTCAATAACGAATAAAGGGGGAAACTATAAACAAGAGCCCACAGTGACAAAAACCTGGTCACAAACAAGGGATAACAGAGACAATGCCAAGGACAAGAACCCTCCAGTTGCTAACTGATGGGCCATCAAGAAATTCCAGGAACAGCTTTGGAAAGGGTCAGCCTGAAACTTGTAACTGGTAAGAAGTAGGAAGCAAGAGGAACATAAGCTTTTGGGATATTTGATAGCAGCCTGTAGCACCATACAAAACTTCTGAAGTAATGTTTAGGGGAAAAGGACTGGGGAGGAACAAAGTGAGAAATAGACAGAAAGAGCTATAAAAGGGACCAGTCACATGTAAAACAGGACTGAACAATGCAACCGTCTGACCAAGCCCCTTGCCTGATCACTGCAGCCTGTCCTATCCTTTCATTAAATCATTTCTTAACTATCTTTGTGTGGAATCTCATTCCCTATCTCATGTGTGAGTGCTGTAAGGGCTAGGAGACAGCGACAGGATAGGTGTCAGTGGGTTTATTGCCAGCTACTGGAGCAGGCAAGGGTCTTAGCAGCAGTATCTGGAGGGGGGCCATACCTGTTGGGACCATCTTTATGGTGCCACAGACTTTGTGTCTGGTGTGACAGCTCTGGAAGGACCAGTGAGTGCAGACAGGGCCAGCCAGCAACTGGAGTCAGACTAAGGGCACAGGCACCCTCGGCCTGTGGTGTCAGCAGCTGGAGGGAATGGGGGTCTTCAGTCACTGGGATGGGACTCATGGGTGCCCTAGGTGCAGCTGCTGGAGGGACTGGGCGCATCAGAGTGAGTGGTAGGCTCAGTAACAGTCTGCAACTTCCCTAAACCTGGTGTATGTGGGAGTGTGCCTGTGTAATAATTCACTAGCAAACTTCAAGCCAGACCAGATGGTGTGTAGGAGGGCCTGGGTTTGTGTGGGAGAGCTGAGCACACACACAACCAGTGCGATCAAGCAGTGCCCGTTTATTACAACTAGGAAAGCCCTTTTATAATGTTCTCCCGCACAGTTGAGTAACATGCAGTACAAGTCCTCAAGACTGGACAGTTAACTCAGCCCGCGCTTTAAACCTTCTTATGATTGGATAAAAAGTGCCACATCAGCCTTGCCAGGCTTCCTGCCTTGGGTAACTTCCTCTTCCGTCCCAACCCCTTCCGGGGGTTGTTTGTCTCGTTGTTTCTCCCCCCTCATTCAGGGTCACATCCTTATCACTTTCTTGCTCAGGCTGAGGCTCTTATCAGTCTTGTTCTCACACAGGATTGCTCACACGTCCATTCTCTCGCAGAAAGCCCTCCTGAATCCCAACAGGTTCGGACACAGGGTCTGTGCTGGTATTCAGGGGGGGCCTACGAGTGTGGGGCGCCTGTGAGATGCCTCTGTGAGTGCATGCATGTTTGCTAGTGAGCACAGAGATGGACCACCCAGCGAATATGAGACCTGTGGAGCAGGTAAGAGGACCTGGGGTCCAAACAATGGTATTGGAAAGAGGAACTGCGCTGATACTTAAGGGATTTATGACTGTACATGTACTTCTGAATCTAGAGTAGTGTGTGCTTTCGCTAATGAACTCCTATCTCTATCAGCCAAAGAGGAGGAAGGAGACTTGCTCATCTATACTTATGTTTTACGGGAGTCCTGTATGTAGGTAATGTTGAAAGCAGCAGCTTGCTTGTGACTGTCTAGCCAGCCACGTCAGTGTCCTTTGTGCATCTGTGTCTCTGGGATATACATTCAACTTTGCTCCTGCTTGAACAAGAGAACAGGAAAGCAGCAGCCATATCCATCAGCCTGGGATTGAGATCCTTGTCTGTCTGGGCACACTGGACTGGGCTCCAGTGGCCAGGCAGGAGCAACCTCTGTGCCTGGAGCTGATGGAGGTGATGGCCACTTCTAACATCCCTTAACAACTGGATCTTCTCCAAGACCCTGCAGCTTCAAGAGTCTGGAACCTCAATAGTAATAAATGTGGTGCAGGTAGAGTCTGTGCTTATTTGGTATGAAAATTGAGACTTCCATTAAGGTGAAGTATGGAAGATGATGACTTCTGGCACTCAGAGAATGGCTCCAGCTTCACCTCCAGATCTGCAATTTTTTGACATGCAAGTGTCATTGCTTACACAGTCAGGTAGCCATCGGGATGATGGAGAAGAGCTATGTAACATTGTTTACCAGCAAGGAAACTGTTTTAGTAACTCTATTATGTTACTGACGTAACTGAAAAGTCTGAAATGGGAAAGATAACTCTACTTACTAGTGCTAAGGAGGAATTAAACTTTTTTTTGTTTGTTTGTTTGTTTTATTTTTTTTAAATCCGACAAGACCTAATGGAAAAGCGTATTTTAGTCTAACTTCACATCCGGTGAGGGTTCAGAGCATATGAGACATGCAAGTCATTCACTCCATAATATTGGGAGCCATTCCCTTATTAAGTGAGTGTCCTGGTTTTGGCTGGGATAGTTAGTTTTCTTCACAGTAGCTGGTACAGTGCTGTATTTTGGATTTAGTATGAGAATAACATTGGTACAAATTTTGTTTTAGTTGTTGCTAAGTAGTGCTTATCCTAAGGATTTTTCAGTTTCCCATGCTCTGACAGTACCATCAGTAAATTCGCATATGACACCAAGTTAAGCGGGAGTGTCGATGACATGAAGATAGGGAGGCTCTACAGAGAGACTTGGATAGATTGGATCAGTGAGCCAATGTTAATGGGATGAGCTTCAACAAGGCCAAGTGCCAGGTCCTGCACTTGGGCCACAACGACACCCTGCATGGCTACAGGCTTGGGGAGGTGTGGCTGGAGCTGTCTGGGAGAGAAGGATCTGGGGATTCTCATTGACAAGCAGCTGAACATGAGCCAGCAGTGTGCCCAGGAGGGCAAGAAAGCCAACGGCATCCTGGCTTGTATTAGAAATAGTGTGACCAGCAGAAGTAGGGAGGTGACAGTCCCCCTGTACTCTGCACTGGTGAGGCCACACCTGGAGTATTGGGTCCAGTTTGGGGCAGCTCAATACAAGAGAGATCTCGAGGTGCTGGAGCGAGTGCAGAGGGCAACGAAGCTGGTGAAGGGCCTGGAGAACAAATCCTATTGAGGGAGCTGGGACTGTTCAGTCTGAGGAGGAGATGGCTGAGCGGAGACCTCATCACTCTACAACTACCTGAAAGGACATTGTAGAGAGGTTGGTGCTGGTCTCTTCTCACAGGTGATTAGTGACAGGACAAAAGGGAATGGCTTTAAACTGCAACAGGGGAGGTTTAAACTGGACATTAGGAAAAAAATTTTCACAGGAAGAGTGGTCAGACAGTGGAATAGGCTGCCCAGGGAGGTGGTGGAGTCACCATCCCTGGATGTATTTAAGGGTTGTTTGGATGAGATGTTGGGGGATACGGTGTAGGGAGGAACTTCATAGAGTAGGACTGATGGTCGGACTTGATGATCCCAAGGGTCTTTTTCAATCTGAGTGATTCTGTGATTCTGTAACAGTGAGGAGGTGCACAAGAAGCTGGGAGAGAGCATGGCCAGGACAGCTGACTCAAACTAGCCAAAGGAATATTCCATACCATAGGATGTCACACTCAATATATAAAGTAAGGGGAGCTGGCTGGGGGAGATTGCTGCTTGGGTATTGGTTAGCGGGTGGTGAGCAACTGCATTGTGTATCACTTGTCTTTTCTTGGGTTTTATTTTTAAAAATATATTTATTACTATTATTACTCTATTTTATTATGGTTGTTGTTATTATTGTATTTTATTTTAGTCATTAAACTATTCTTATCTAAACCCATGAGTTTTACATTTTTTCCAGTTCTCTTCCTCATCCCACTGGGAAGGAGTGAGTGAGTAGCCTTGTGGTTAGTTGCTTGCTGGGGTTAAACCAGTGAGTGACAATTACAGAAGCTTCCTCTCAAATCCTGGATTCTGCACAGTTCCATCAAGTTAAAGAGTAACTTTTTGCCAAATGAGTTGATTTAAATTCCAGAAGCATTATTGCTTTGGCTGCAACCATCTTTCTCTGTTTAAGAAAAGCAGAACTTGCAAATACAGGCATTCAGTTTTCTAGGCCGGGTCTAAAAATCACCAAGATATACAAGTAATCTGTGTTTTAATTACTCTGAATCTGAATCAGGTCCTTAAGAATTCACTAATAACTTTGTCTGTGTAATCATTTCAACTTTTTGCCTGTCTCTTCACTCAAAGGAGAAGGTTCCTGTTGGGATTCTAGAGGGCTTTCTGCAAGAGAATGGACATGTGAGCAATCCTGTGTGAGAACAAGACTGATAAGAGCCTCAGCCAAGCAAGAATGTGATAAGGATGTGACCCTGATTGAGGGGGGAGAAACTCGATGAGACAAACAACCCCTGGAAGGGGTTGGGACGGAAGAGGAAGTTCCACAAGGCAGGAAGCCTGGCAAGGCTGATGTGGCACTTTTTATCCAATCATAAGAAGGTTTAAAGCGCGGGCTGAGTTAACTGTCCAGTCTTGAGGACTTGTACTGCATGTTACTCACGTGTGTGGGAGAACATTATAAAAGGGCTTTCTTAGTTGTAATAAACGGGCATTGCTTGATCGCATTGGTCGTGTGCGTGCTCAGCTCTCCCGCAGGTTCCTATTTGCTAGGTAGCATCTGCTGCACACCAGGAATACTTCTAAATTTTTCTGAACACACTATTACTGATCTGTTTTGCCTTAAATTACAGAGCCAGCTATGTTAACTGACATTAATTTAAAGCATATTTTCATGTTTTTTCTCGTTCTTCCCTCCTATATGCTGAATATTTTTGCTAGAAAAGGATGTAGGTAAGTTGGGGAGAAAATACTGATGAATAACTCTTTACATTTCCTCTGGATCTGCCAAAACCACCGTGAGTCTGCTCTGCTTCCTGCAGTTAGAGTGATGGGCAAGTTTTCTGGCAGCCAGTAGAAGAGTGAAAATTAAAGTATAACAAAGCTAAATACAAATCTTGCACAGGACAGCTCCCTAGAGTTTCATACATTTCTTTTGCATGACTTATTCTTTTGGAGTTTCAAACTGTATCAGATCATTATTGCAACATACAGCGAATCACTGCACTAAGCATAACAGAAGGTCAGATACGAAAATGACTGCTCAACTGAAGTGCAATTGTAAGTGTTGCAAAAAAAAACAATTTACAGAGTGCCTGTAAACTTTTCTTAGGAAAAAAAAAAAAAAAAAAAAAAAAAAAAA